CTCTCTCTCTCTCTCTCTCTCTCTCTCTCTCTCTCTCTCTCTCTCTCTCTCGGTGTGTGTTTAATGGGCATGAAAGGCGTTGAGCCAAAAAAAAAAAATTTGATAAAAAATTCACAAACCTGCGGAAAAATGCAAGTTTCTTCACTTCGATTATTTTGCCGTTTCCTCCCACGTCTCTTCATTTTCCTCCTAAGCTCCTCTGGGTTCCAGTGATTTGCTTAGGCATCGAGGTGAAATCAGGCGCTCGTCAAAAATAACGAAGTCAAAGAAACAGGCAATTTTCTAGGCGTTGAACATTTTTTGTTCGAATTTTCTTAATTTAAAAAAATTGTTTTGCTTTAGCTCAGCACCTTTCATGTCCTTTTAAAACTCAAAAAAAGTGTGTGGATTTTACTTAAGTCAAAAAACGTTGATCAAAGTCACACAAACTGAAAATTATGTGAAGTTTCCCAATGCTTTGGATGTCTCCAAACTTTTGCGTCCATTTTCTCGCATATTTTACATCTAACACCAGACAACCCGCACCTTCTTTAAAGCACAATTTATAATATTTAAACCCTTTTCACAATAGACGGGTAGGTTTTTTTTGGGTCAAAACAAGACAAAATGGTAGATTTCTCCAGGTCCTACTTGTTTACTTTCCACCTGTTTTGTTTTTGTCTTTGTATCTTACTTTATCCCGGCACTGAATAAATGACCTTTTTTTGTGTCTGTTTGCTTATCTTTACTTGAACAAAACAAATTAAGACAAAAATAAACAAGCTTCAATATGATACCAAAAGCTTCATAATATGTGAGGCAGCGTGGTGGAATCAGGCTCTCGTCATTTTTTGAGCATGTAGAGTTATTGGTATCACTTTAAAGCTTGTTCACTTGTCTTTATTTGGATGAAAAAATATCCATTTATCTGGAATATAAATCGAGATAATATTTGCGAAAGAAGGAGGTGGGGGTCACCTGTTTTCAGAGGTAAAATTAGTGAGAAAATGGCCGCCAAAGATTAGTTATTTCCTTAGCTTAAGAGTCCGTTGTAACTGAAAATTTATATTTTTGTACCTTTAATCAAAGCTTTTCAGAAAAATCCACAGATAAATGAGTTCTTTAATGGGCATGAAAGGTGTTGAGCCAAAAAACAAAAGTTTGATAAAAATTCACAAACCTGCGGAAAAATGCAAGTTTCTTCACTTTGATCATTTTGACGAGAGCCTGATTCCATCACGCTGCCCCACCTATTATGCCCAACATTAATTGACGAGCGTCTGATTCCACCGCGTCGCGACGTATTTCATAACACAAGAACAAGGCACATCAAATAATA